ACCAACTACAAAAGAAATAAAATGTATTATTCTTACTTTTCTTTTTAGAGAAATGAAAATGTATTTTTCATACTTTTCATTCTTTCTACTTTTCACACGGAGCATAAGGATCAATATTATCACTCTTATTGGTAAAAAAACAATGAAATTTCTAAAAAATAAGAAAAAATTCCTATCATATCCCATCTATAGAAAGTTCGAGTCTCTTTATTATCTTTTAAAGTTAACTAATACATGTAATTAATAAATAATTATAGTTATCTAAAATTTACTTTGCATATGTCTAATATGATCCTCTTGGGAAAAAAGTTCATGTTAATTAAAAAAATAAGAAAAAAAAAATCTCCAAGTGGCATAAATAAACCTAACAATAATTCTTTATTTTAATTATTTAAAAACATTGATCATGAAAATAAAATATTAAAACAATTATGGCATGGAAAGCTGCCATGTTCTAACCCTAAGATGTATTGTATCCTTGCTATGCAGCCCAAGTTTTTTTTATCCAAGTTATACTTTTCAAATGATCCGTCATCATCATTACCAACAACTTAGTTTTAAAATAATTAAAATTTAACCACATCATTTTTATTTTATTTTAATCAGAACAAGGCAATGCATCAAAATATATTAGGTAGGAAAATTTAAATTACAATCAGACAAAAGAGAAATCTAAAGCTCGGGAGGAGAGAACCTAACAAATCCAAAAGGAGGAAACTGTTTAACTTAACAACTGTCACCCAATAAACAGTCCTATTATACGTCCTAGACTTGTGAAAAAAGCGAAAGTTGTGTAATCAAGCTAAATATCTAATATCATCCATAATAACTAACTTCCCATGGGAGAACATCTTCGATAGAGCTTAACTTGACAATACTAAGGCAATCATTCATGATAATGGCATTAAGAGAGTAAGAGGCCATCAGCTAACATGCAAGCTTGGCGAACTGCCTCTGCTTCAGCGGACAAAGGTGACGCTTTAGGGAAAGACCTAGCAACACCAGCCATCAAAGCACCATCCTCCTTGCACACCACCGCCCCCACACGCAGCCCTCGCACACTTGGGATCAAAGGAACCATCACAGCTTAACAGAACATCAGGAACAGGAAGTGAAGGCTGTACCTCTGGAACCAAAAAGCCACCTGTTCTGGGAGAAAAAGCACTGGCCACCCTGACTTGATCAATCCACATGCCTTGGGCACATCATTTAAAAAAAATTAAAATTAGACAGCAGATTTGAAAAACATAGCTATTTTGAAAAATCAAAGTTATTTGGACATAATTCATTAATTTAATTATTTATAATATATTTGATTGACAATGAATTTTAATATTTATAAAAATTCATAACTAATTCAATAATTATGATAAATTAAATTAATAAATTATGTATAAATTAAATTTAAATAATATATTATTAATTTTTAAAACGTTATAGTAATATTAGTCTTTAAAGTCAAATCATAAAAAATTTATTCTTTATGAATTTCTTAATTCTAACGTAAAAAATATGTTTTTAACCAAATAAAACAAAAATTAGTTAAAATACACGTACACGGACCAAAACCCCATTCACTATTGAATAAAAAAAGAGCAATGATATATAAATCAAATTTACGTCACAAATCAATAAGAATTATTGAATGAGTGGGTCGGAGTTCGCACTGGGTGATGGGTCCTAAATTTATAGGCGGGCACGCTTCACGAAAACCAAAGGGCTGCTCAACCCATTAACAAGCCACCACTGCAAATTCTATGAGTTTTTGCGATAGATATTAGTATTTTAAAATTTGATCTTGAAATTATTACCATTAATTATAAATTTTAAAAAAATTATAATTTAAAATAACCTATAAAAATTCTTTTTTTTGGGTACATAAGAGCATCACTAACTGTGACTCAAATTTTTACTCAAATTTAAATTACCATTTGAGTAAAAAACTTAATTTGATACAAAATACTTTAATGAACAAAATTAGATTTAAAGAAGTAGAAATCTAAATTTAAATAAGGACAAATCTAAATTTAAAAGAGAGTAAAGATAATCATTAGATCTTTAAAAGATATAAAATCTCACCATTAAAGATTTGTATAAGGATTTAAATCTCTGTTAATTTGAGTAAAAAAATAAGTCTCTTTTGAGTTAATATAAATTTGAGCCAAAGATTGAACCAAATTTTTTGAGCTTTTCTACACAAATTTTAAATTTAAATTTAAATCTGAATCAAATTACACACTCTAAAATAAATATATAAAGAAATGTTATCTCCCAACACTACAAATAAGAGACCCTTTCATACCTATTTTAATGTTCTGTTTGGTACGATAAAAAAATAAAAGAATGAAAAGTTGAAAGAATAGAAAGTTAGAGAGATAGATAAAATATCATGTTTGGTAAGGAAGAAAAGTAAGAATGATGAAAAAGTGATGAATTAACTTTCCTTCTAACTCACCAAAATCAATCCCTTCAAAATCGGAAGGAAAGTGGATGAAAAATTAATTATTTGTGTTGAATGTATCTTATTTGTCTATATATATTACGTATACATTAATTTCATATAAAAATATAATGATAAAATATGTATATATATAAAAATAAAAAAAATAAACAAATTTAAATTTAAATTAAAAAAATATTTTTTTTTCATCTTAACTAGAGGTAAAAATTCGACTTAATACGATGACACGACTCGAACTCGACACAAATTTTATGACACGAACTTGAAAATAACATGACACGCGAACAAAAAATATAAGATTCATAATTTTATGACTCAACACGAATCTGACACGACACGACTTGATTGTCAACCCTAATTTTAGCCATTACAAAAAAAGAATTAAAAAAAATTAATTATTTTTATTTTTTATCTATACAACCAAATACAAATTAAAAAAAAATGCATCATTTCTACTTTCCATTCAATCTCGCGTCTCTTCCGCCCCATATCACCCAATCAAATATCAATATTCGTCCATTTGGGTCTTACAATTTCCAAATTCTGAGAATCTGACACGTCAATATCAACGGGATTTGCATAATCCGGCAAGGGTAATATAGTAAGAGTGAAATAGGAAAATAACAGAACTCTGATAGCCATGGTGTAGTCATGCATGTCATCAAACTACACGCGTTACAGTGAAAAAGGACAATTCACGTCGGTGCAATGAACTGAGGCGCCACCGCCTCAACTTATTCATTTAAGACTTTCTATCCAATCGCTTTTGTTTGTAAGCGCCAGAACAAACAAACCCAAAAACAAACAAAAGACAACTTGCAAATGCTTGCCTTTTCCAAATCAGATAACACATTCGACCTATTTAAAACTAGCTTAAAACCAAAAAATAAAAAATAAAAATAATCTGATCCGTTTTGAATAAAAATAATTTTTATCAGCATCAAAAAAAGTTAAAAAATAAAATTTATCTAAGGACTAATAAAAAAAATTAATTTTTTTGAAAACACTCTAAACAGTTTCAAGAGTATTTTTAACTTTTAATTTTTTGATTTTACTTTTTAAGCACCTAAAAAAATCAACTCCAAACAAGCTCAATAATTATTAACTACTAGACAATAAGTCCATCTTGTAGACATTTAATCTATGAAACACGGATATTTCGTTAAAATTGACGTATTCGTATCGGATATTAGAGGATACATATCAAATACACATTTTACGTATCCGATAATAATTAAATACGTCATCCGTTTCTAAATATATGTCGTTTTACACAATTTTTTTTGTTCTACAATATCTGTCGTTTAATAAAACCAAAACATAATTAATATTTTTTTCCCAAATTTACCCTTATCTATGTTTTTCAATAAGTGTTTAATAAATTAAGTATATGTTAAGTGTCTTTCATATTTTTTTCATTCCCAACACGTATTGAATAAAAATATTTTAGTCTTGTGCAATTATTTTTTACTCATGTTAGAGCTATTTAATATCTTCTTTAATTCCTGTGTAAAAACTTTAAACGACAAATATTTAAAAATAGATGAAGTATTAGGATACTTCACGGATACTTTTGTAGTAGAACAATATATATAATTTTTTAGTTACTTTTAACATCTCTTTTCGAATTCATATACCATACAATACATTAACAAAATTTTATATTACTTCAAAAACACATGAGTGTTTTTTAAGTATTATCTACAATTGCATGTCAAAAGACTATATAATAAAACTATTACATTATAATCTTAACAAAATTACTTCTAAATACTAAGTAAATATTAATTTTAATTCCTTTAATTAGTCACTTCATTTTTGTGAATATACCACAGCGACACGATATATATTTTCTTAAAACTTATTAATTTTCCTTATTATATGTTAAAGAACTACCAAAATATATGTGTTAAGTTGGTTAAAAATAATAAATATATTTTATTATAACCATATCCTGACCGTACCCGTATTCTATTTTTTTAAACTCTATCATATCGCCGTATTCGTATTGTATCATACTTTTATTTTGTATCGATATTCGTGCTTCATAGTATTTAATGGTAATAGACTCTCACATTTTATATGGTATGACTTTATAATTTTTGATCCAATAATATTCCTTATAAGTATAATAAATTGAGCTATACTATTGGAACTTTAATTTATTGATCTAATTTATTATAATATTTGAATTATTTGTAAGTCTTATCAAATATTAAAAGTTAGTGATAATTCAATAATTCTACTAAAATTACAGTAGGTTAATAAATTACATCAAATTTTTATTTCCAATCACACATATTAAGTTCCTAAAACACGTACCCACAGGACATTTCCAAGTGTCAAATCCTTCTTCATTCTCTCTTTATGTTGCCTTCTTCTCATAGGCCAACCCACCACCTTAAATGCCCCACGACCTCCTCTACAACCCCACATCACCTCACCTTTGTGTGCCTCAAAAGTCTGAGTTTGCTCCTCCATTACACCAACCTCAGACGACTCAGACCTACCCGGGCTTAACAAACTCTTCACCTTCAAAATGATGCAAACCATGAATTCCTACACTTTAACAGCAAAAACAGCTGAGATCATGGCTAGGTACAGACCCATAGCTCCAAAACCGGAGGTTACGGCGAACGCAGCGGACGTGTCGGAGAACACATCAATGCCACAGAACATCCGGCAATCCGCTTACCTTAGAACCGTGTGGCCCGATTTGCAGTCAAGGCCACAAGAACCAGAAAGAGAGGGAGGACTGCAATTGCACCACCTACTGTCAAGAGACAAAGGACTTGTCTTCAAGGACTCTATCCTATTCCTCCTCCTCAGGTAAACACTTCACCTGCCGGAAACCTCTCGTTCAATGCTTTAGGTCATGGCCCAAAAGGGTTTCCTCAGCTTATACCTGTCCCAATCTCAAATATCACCGCCCTCAACGGCGGCGTTGCAGTGGGAAATTCATGCACGTTGCCAGCGAACTTAGTCACACTACCTCTCCTCCCAATTCCTTCATCCTTACCATCGATACCCAACAAGCACCACCACCAGAAACCATAGGTGTTCGAGTTTGTGGAGGCAACAAAGATATAGACTTGAACACGGAAGCCGAAGATCCAGAAGAACAGGATTTCCTGCAGCAACTGCAAGGACCCACCAGCCCAATATCATTGCCCCACAGCCGGTTCGACCGGTGGGCTCCAACATATGTGTTGGGTGCATCAGTGACGACAGTGGTCGAACAACTTCTGTGCAACTTCTCAAGAAACCAGAGGAGGTGGAGGAAGAGGTCGAGTCTGAGGCCTTGCCGGCTATTGTATCAGATTCAAACAACAAAGTCAGACTGGCGAATTCCGCTTATAAGGAAATGGTGGGTCAGCCGGAATGTTCATGGCTTGACACCGCCGGTGGACGGAGGCGGTGCATGCAAGAGGATTGGTGGGGAGGTGATGCTCAAGTTTTTGGATGAAACTGTGCCAGTTTTCATCAAATGGGTTTCGTGCTGG